GGTCCAACTCAACAGCACATAACAACGTCTTTTTCTAGAGATTGACCCAACATTAAAAACTGATGATAATAAAAAGTAAAGGCGTATACTTTGACCAAAGGTGGTGATGGTGGTTGTTGTGTGCCATTGAGTGGGACCCGACTCATTGCGACCCCTCGTTGGGTTTCTGAGGAGTGGCTGGTGTATTTGAACCACCAGCCTTCTGGTTAGCAGTCAGGTGCCTTAGGCACTATGCTACCAGAAAGAAATAAAACATTAAGCTAGCTTTGGTAAGTTAAAACCCATACACTTTACATAAGATCTTAAAATTTTAAGTGGTGGCCAGTTTTCATTTTTTGTATGCTTAAGAATTGGTGGTAGGACCACAGATAGTTATATTTCTCTTATTCAGGTAATATACATAAGATGATGATGATGTAGGTGCTGTCGAGTTGGCACAGACTCATAGTGACCTTACCAACAACAAAACAAAATACTGCCATGTTCTGGGCATCTTCTGAATCTTTGTCATGCTTGAGCCCATCGTTGCAGCCACTGTGTCATTCCATCTCATACAGGGTCTTCCCATTTTTCGTTGACACTCTACTTTTCCAAGCATAATATCCTCCAGGGAATGGTCCCTACTGACTGCATGACCAAAGTACATGAGGTGAAATCAGGCCATTCTCATTTCTAAGAAGCACTCTGGCTGTACTTCTAAGACAGATTTGTTCATTCTTCTGGCAGTCCATGATATTTTCAGTATTCTTCACCAATACCACAGTTGAAATGCATCAGTTCTTTATGGGTCATCCTTATTCATTATTCACCTTTCACATGCACATGAAGCTATTGAAAATACCATGGCTTGTGTCAGGTGCACCTTAGTCTTCAAAGTGACCTCTTTGCTCTTTAACAATTTAAAGAGCTGCTTTGCTGCAGATTTGCCAAGTGCAATATGTCATCTGATTTCTTGACTGCTTCTTCCATAGGTGTTGATTGTGGATCCAAGTAAAGTGAAATCCTTGACGACTTCAGTTTTTTCTCTGTTTCTCATGATGTTGCTTATTGGTCCATTTGTGAGGACTTTTGTTTTCTTTATGTTGAGGTGTAATCCATACTGAAGTCTGTCATCTTCGATCTTTATCAGTAAGTGCTTCAAGTCTTCTTCACTTTCCGCTAGGAAGGTTGTGTCAGCCACATATTGCATGCAGGTTGTTAATGTTTCCTCCAGTCCTGATGGCGTGTTGTTCTTTATATAGTCCAACTTCTTAGATTATTTGCTCAACATATAGATTGAATAAGTAAAGTGAAAAAAAATACAACCCTGACACACACTTTTCCTGATTTTAAACCATGCAGTAATCCCCTTGTTTTGTTTGAACGATAGCTTCTTGAGGTCTATGTACAGAATCCTCCTGGGCACAATTAAGTGTTCTGGAATTCCCTTTCTTCTCAATGTTATCCATAACATGTTACAATCCACACAGTCAAATGTCTGCATAGTCAATAAAACACAGCATCTTTCTGGTATTCTTTATTTTCAGCCAAGATCCATCTGACATCAGCAATGATATCCCTTGTTCCACATCTTTTTCTGAATCTGGCTTGAATTTCTGGCAGTTCCCTATTGCTGCAACTGTTTTTGAGTTATCCTCAGCAAAATTTTAGTTACATGTGATATTAATGATTTGTTTGATGATTTCCACATTCTGTTGAATCACCTTTCTTTGGAATAGGCACAAATATGGATCTCTTCAATCAGTTGGCCAGGTAGCTGTCTTCCATATTTCTTGTCATAAAAGAGTGAGTGCCTCCAGCACTGCATCTGTTTGTTGGAACATCTCAACAGATATTCCATCAACTCCTACAACCTTGTTTTTTGTCAATTCCTTCCGTTCAGCTTGGACTTCTTCCTTTAGTACCATCAGTTCTTGATTATATGCTACCTCCTGAAATGGTTGAAACTTGACCAGTTCTTTTTGGTATAATGACTCTGTGTATTCCTGTATTCCTTCCATCCTCTTTTGAAGCTTCCTGCATCGTTCAGTGTTTTGCCCATAGAATCCTTCAGCATTGCAACTCAAGGCTAATTTTTTCTTCAGTTCTCTCAGCTTGAGAAATGCCCAGCATGTTCTTCCCTTTTGGTTTTCTAACTCCAGTTCTTTTCACATTTCATTATAATACTTTACTTTGTTTTCTCAACCTGTTTTTTGAAATCTTCTGTTCAGCTTTCTTTTTAATCATTCCATCTATTCACTTTAGCAACTGTACTTTCAAGAGCAAGTTTCAGAGTGTCTTCTGACATCCACTTTTGTCTTTTCTTCCTTTCCTGTCTTTTTAATAACCATTTGCTTTGTTTTTATATGATGTCCTTGATATTATCCCATAACCTGTCTGGTTTTCGGTCACTGGTGTTCAGTGCATCAAATTACTGTTCAAATGGTCTCCAAATTCAGATAGGATATAATCAAGATTATATTCTTGCTCTCGTGAACTTGTTTTAATTTTCTTCAACTTCAGCTTGAACTTGCATATGAGCAGTTGATAGTCTTTTCCACAGTCAGCTACTGGTCTTGTTTTGACTGAAGATAGTGAGCTTCTCCATCACCTCTTTCCAGAGATACAGTCTGTTTGATTCCTGTGTATCCCATCTGGTGAGATCAATGTGTGTAGTCAGTATTTATGTTGTTTTAGAAAGTATTTGCCATGAATAAGTCATTGTTTTTGCATAATTCTATCATGCAGTCTCTGGTGACATTTCTTTCACCAAGGCCATAATTTCCAACTACCAATGCCACTTGTTTCCAACAAGCATTACTTGTTGCATTACTATCACTAGTGCATCTTGGTTGCAGGTTTGGTCAATTTCAGACTGAAGAAATTGATAAAACTCTATTTCTTCATCTTTGGCTTTAGTGGGTGGTATGTAAATTTGAATAACAGTAGTGTTAACCAGTCTTCTTTGTAGGCATATGAACATTATTCTATCACTGACAGTGTTGTACTTCAGCATAGATCTTGAATGTTCTTTTTGACTTAGAATGTGATGTGATTCCTCTTCGGTTTGTCTCTCCTAGCATGGTATACCATATGGCATGACTCAAAATGAGAAGAGACAGCTGCAAACATTCATTAATAGTCAAATTTGGTATGTGTAAAGTATGAATATAGGAAAACTGGAATTTGTCAAAAATTATATGGAATGCATAAAAATCACTGTCTCAGGCATTAGTGAGCTGAAGTGAACTGGTATTGGCCAGTTTGAACCAAAAATACATAAGATGTATGGTTATAAATGTCACTACAAGTTTCTGTATTTTAAAAATATAACATTTAAAAAGAAAACAAAACCCTATTCTTTAAATTTTAGTAGAGGGCCCTAGTCATGGTTTATTCTCAAATTTAATCTGTTTTCCCAGCTCCACTGTAAACGTTGACCCTCTCTTCTCTATAGATGATTTATTTTGTGTCTAGAATAGAACATACCTGTTATTTCCTCATGAGTGTTTTGAAATAACTCAGCTACAGGTATCCCCCACTTTTTGAAAGTTCACTTTATGCCACTTCACTTTTACAAAAGTCCTGCATTGTGGTGGTGTTGTTAGGTGCCATCAAGTCTCCTCCAGCTCATAGAGACCCTGTGTTCAAAAGAATGAAACACTGCCCAGTCATGTGCCAGCTTTATGATCCTTGCTATACCTGAGCCCACCGTTGCAGCCACTGTGTCAGTCCTTCCCATTGAGGGACTTCCCCTTTTTCGCTCACCCTCCACTTTTCCAAGCATGGTATCCTTCTCCAGAGAATGATTCCTTCTGACAGCATGACCAAAGTAGGTGAGACGAAGTTTGGCCATTCTCGCTGCCAAGGAGCATTCCAGCTACACTTCTTCCAGTACAGATTTGTGTTCTTCTGGCCATCCATGATGCTTTCAGTATTCTTCACCAAATTAGTACCTGTTTTTTGCTAATTGAAGGAAATTTGAAGAGGATTTTCACTTTTACCAAAACAAGTGAAAAGCAAAACTACCATTCAGCATTTGTTTTGCTGTTAAAGAGGCAGTATGCAACCTGAGCAGTGAGAATGGCATCACCAAGCTCTTTCTCTGGAAACTCCACTCAGCATTTCAGTATCAAGCTGCTGTGGCTTTGAACTGTGTCTGTGAAGGCTCTCTGTTAGTGTTATTTTAGGTTTTATGTGTGATTTGGTTGATTATTTTGAAGTCTGGAAGCGCTAAAAAATTTTTCCTGTATAAATTGATGATAATTGTTTCTTCACTTTACACCCTTTTGGCTTACGAAAGTTTTCATAGGAACACTCTACTTTCGGATAGTGGTTGGGGAGCCTGTAATTTTAATGTATGCAGACAGACACACATGCAAATTTATCTAATATGTGTAAATAGAAAGCTTCCCCTTAACTAGTATGGAGGATTCTATAAGTGATAACTTGAATTCAATAAGTAAAATGTGTGACAAATATCCTTGGTGCAAACTCATAATTAAAAGTTGCATATTGCTTTTTTAAAATGTGGTTGTGTAGTCAGTCTGAACGTGGACTGGCTTTTTAATTGATGATTTCCACAGTTGTTGACCACTGATTTTTAATGGAAATTTTCCATTTAACTATTCACTGTTTATTACTCAAAATTATGAAGTTTAAAGTGTAAACCTCACCAAACCAGAATGTCTTAATCTTTTTCTCTGCTGCCAAATTTGGATAATCTGTTTCAAAAGGGAATAGGAAATACTGAACTAATTAGTTGCTCTGCATGGATACAGAATCTGATCTCTTCTCACTCTTTCCATGGATTCTTAGGCCATACAGTGTATTCCCTTGCATTTTCATGCACCCTTTTTCCTCTGTCACTCCTGGTGTGGATAACTCTTTAAAAACCTCTCACTCCCTCCCCTTTCCTACTTTGCCCCTTCCCCAACTTCTGTATGTGCTTATTGGTGTGAAACCCTGGGACATTTAGCCTATACAATAATAGCACTCGACTTGTCCCCCTGTTCCTCCAGGAAAGGAAGTTCTTCAAAGGCTTCTTTGGAAAAGTAAGTTTGATGCCACATTTGTGCTTGCTTTATAAGGAGTTACACCCCTAGTATAGCAGTGATGTATTAAAAAGCAAAAGTACAGCTTTGATTTCTTTATAATACAGGAACTGATTTAACTGTATATGAAAATTAATTAATTGAAAAGTACCATCTCTGATATTAGCTGTGTGTCTGTTGATTCTAAAGCTGTTTATTGATTCCTAGGAAAGTCCAGTAAATGAATCAATTAGATTAAAAGAGTATTATCTCTACAGGACTAGATGTTAAAATAATTTGCATTTCATCTTACAAAACTCTGTTCATATTAACATTGTAGGTGAGTTTTTAACAAGTAGCTCTTACTTGGTGTCTAATTTTGACAGAGAAATGGGAAAAAATACTAAATTCAACTGAAAGGTAAATGTATACCAAACTTTGCAATCATTGCTATTACTTTAAAAAAAAAAAAAAAATCTAAGTTAAATTTCAGGTGAGGAAATTGAAAATATGTAAGTTTATCTTTGAAGATCCTACATAATTTTTAACCTGGGTTGCTAATTTAGTCTACCAAATATTTTTTGTATGTGAAATGTTGTTTATGTAGATGCTTGTCAGATAATTATTGTTTAATATTCATATCTCCTTAGAATTAAGAATATATACAGTGACTATCCACACAAATAAATATATTTCTAACATTTTTTGTATTCAAGCACCAGTATATCATCAGTTAGTTTTCAGCAGGGCTACAAAGTAATTTAGATCGACAGTATAAGGAAAACATTATCATTGCATAATGGTGTATAAATTACTACAAGTTTACATGAATATAAAATTTGCAATATTTCTCTTTTGGGTGGTTTTGTTATTTTGGAAATTTGTTTTAAAGAATAAGTATAGTTTCTATTTCTTTCTCAAGTATTTTAACTGTAATCATTCTTTACATTATCTTGTTCTAGGGTAGGTCACTATTACAGTTGTGGAAGAAAATTTTTGAAGGACTTGAATGGTTTAATTCAAATGGTTGCTGCCAATCTGAAATACAAATTCAAATAGTTTACACACACGTATTAAAATTTGAATAGCTATTTAAGTTTAAGATCAAATTAACAGATCTTTAGAACTTGGATTCCTTTTCTAGAAAAAGTTAATCTTGTGGACATTTACATTATTATAATTAGACACTGTAATTGTTAAAGAAACTTAAAATTGTTAAGGAAACTTTTTATGGAGTATTTATTCTTTGCCAAGTGGAATTTCTCAAAACAGTGTCATGGTACCACAATATTTATACAATTTTAATTATCTTCCAAGTGACCAGATTTTAATATGACTTCTTTCATTAAAACAGCCTTGTCTTTTCAGCCTAAATTGTAGAAAATACTCATTTGGCTTATAGAAAAAATATCTTAAAGTATAAGAAAAAAGTTGTAACAGTGTTATGTAACAAAGATAGCTCTAACTTTAAAATCATTCCTGAGGTAGATACGTTCATTGCTATCTATAATGGGGTCTTGGTGGACCTACAGTGTAGCTAAATTGGGTCACATTGTGCTTCTTAGCTGTTTTTACTGCCATTTTGCTGCATTATGAATTTATATGGCATGAGAAAAAAAAATTATGAATCACCTCACTTAATCCTTCCAATAACCCCGAAAATATTGTCATTTTCTTTGTTTTACGTCAAGGAAACATGTTTACAGAGGTTAAATTACGTGCCTGAATTTCCAGATATAACAAGTGATAGAAGCTAGAATTTGAACGTAGATCATCTGATTCCAAGCCCACAATCACAATCACTACCTTTACAAGTAAAGTTTAAAAGATTTAATTTTAAAAGGTACTAGTAAATAAGGACTTCCTTGAAACTCCCTTTTACTTTCCAGCTTTCTTTTAAAAGGTAGTGATTTGAGTTTTATTTCTAGTTAATTTACTTTTTTATTAGTTAAAGATTTAAAGGTTTGTCTTTTTTACTGGTTAAAACTAATATTTTGTTTATTTAGAGATACTTAAATCTAAGTACTGAGCTTGGCTCCCACAGGGTTTTCTTAAAAGACATTGCATGATCCCATAATGGCATCCAGGAACCAACATGAAAAAGAGAAATCTTTTCTTATGCCTTTGGAAAAATTCTTTTCATGGCAGGGCAATTTCATTCTAACATAACGTTTTTAAAATTAAAGTAAGTCATTTACAGTGTTTAAAGCAGTTGTTGTTATGTGCCCTTGAGTCGGACCCGACTCATAGCGACCCCTCCTTGGGTTTCTGAGGCAGTATCTATGAGTCGGGGCCGACTCGACAGCAAACAACAACAACAACAACAACATCACTGCGGAAGTAGATTGCCCCATCTTCCTTCGGAGGAGTGGCTGATGGGTTTGAACCACCAGCCTTCTGGTCAGCAGTCAAGTGCTTTAGGCACTACGCTACCAGAGCTCCCATTTAAAGCAGAGGGGAGGTAAAAAAAAAAAAAACATTACAATCTTACCAGAAATGTGGTTTTAAAGCAAAAACTTTAATTTGGAGCTTTAAAAATCTTTCAAGTTACTGTCATTCAGTTAACCTCCATATTAATCTTCAAGAAATAGCTAGGTGAAAAAGACTTGATTTGTTGAGTTTGCTAGGTTTGATGACAACTAAAATTGAAGAATCTCATAGAATAGTTTATGACAGGAATTTTTATCCAGTACAGTTCGTCATAAATTTGGGTGACTTTCTTAGGCTTTGTTTCATGTATGGCTATTGTTCCAGGATAAAGAGAACAGTAGTTACCAAAAAGCATTTCCAATGTACAGAGCTGATTTTTCTGTACATAAAAATAAACCATGTCCTTCGTTTCCATCAAACACTTTTGAATAAAAGTAGGAAGATGAAAGAATTATTAGCCATAATTCTGAAGGTGAAGCATGCCTAAGAGGACTGCTTTCTCTTTTACCTAAGCTGCTTACTGGTCCTGTCCACTCCATAGCTTCTTCATTCCCTGCATCACCAACTGATGGGTCATTGCTTCCAAGACTGTAGCAGTAGGGAATGGATAAATCTGGGTATGTAGCAGGTTTTATTAGACCACTGTAGTCTTAACAACATTATAAAAGAGAAGGGGGAAAAAATTGAGGACCCGGAATAACTTTTTGCAAACTAGCTATATTAAATTGCTCACTACCTTGGGAGAGCCAAGGATGTACCCACCTCTTTAGAGATTTATATGTGGTTCCTTAGTGAATTTGGCCATGCTGGGCAAATACTTTATTATCAAGTTACTACTTAACACTTAAAAAGGAATTTATAATTTTAATGTATTTGAGGAACCCCATGAACTAAGTAATCTGTATTTACATTTTGTGAGGTAACTAACTCAACATAGATATCAAATGTTCTTAGGCTACACTATTACATCTCTCTTTAAAGCCATGTACTTACTTGTATTTATAAAGAGCTTTATAGTTTATGATGTGCTTTGACCTACTTTCTAATTTGCTGCTCATAATGGCTCAGCAAGTTAGACAGGATAGTTCATGAACCTTCATTTTACAGATGAACAAGCCAAAGCTCAAAAGAAGTCACCCGGCTCTAAATGGCAGAGCCTACTCTGAAACCAAAGTTTTCTGAAACTTGGTGCAAGAGTTTTTTCATCTATTTCATGTTGCTGTTTTTCATTTAAAAATGTTGACCTCTGATTTCCTCAAGTATCCCTTAATGATAATGAATGGACAAGTGTCTAATGCAAAGGATACTAGACAATTCAAGAACCTGAAGACTTCCCACAATGCCCATGCATTGTATGGCCTGCACAGAGTTTACAAATTTGAGTTGCCAATATTTTAAAAATTGAGAGTTTTCATGTAAAAACTGTGATATCTCTATCTTTTGAGAATTAGAAGATCTGATCAAACGGCTTTCTGTGTGGCAACAGTGGCTTGAGCCGAGGAACAGCTGTCCCTTTTGGTTGCCTCTTCAACACAATCTCAACTATTCCTGTTATTCCTTACAATGAGCCTGCTTCACTCATTTTTTATCTGCCTTAACTCTGGGCATTTGAGTATGTGGCCTCCCTGAGCTATCATGTCATTTTGATCTACTATCTTGGTCTAACCAAATATTTCTAACTGTGTAAAAATCACCAAAAGTATTTTAATATCTATTCTAGTAGATCCTGTTAATATACTACCAAATATATTTTTTTCAGATGTTTATGTTTTTACAATTGTTACTTAGATGACATCATTAGAAATTACTGTTTTAGAAAATACGTGGTTGGAAAGTAGTAATGTGGGGTTATATTGTTTTCACCTAATTCTCAAGACTTAAAACATTTCATGATATTTATGACTTTACTCTTAAATCAGTATACCCACTTTTATACTCTGTTTTAGATTTCCCAATTTTTCATCTCTGTGACAAATCCACGGGAGCTCTGGTAGCGTAGTGCCTAAGGCACTCGACTGCTAACCAGAAGGCTGGTGGTTCAAACCC